GTAAAAAATATTATCAAATTAAAAAAAAAAAAATTTAGAAAATTTTTTTATTAAAAAAAAAAAAAAGCTTTTTATTCTACAGTTTAGAAGCATGACGTCATGATTACGTCATGATTAATATACAAAAATATATACATTTTAGAAAAGTTGAATGTTTAAGCTGTAAAACGGTATATAATAATGTAATTTTTGATAATGTATTTTTTTTACTTTTATCCACCACCTGGCCCACTGTGTACTTGTTTCAACTGGTGTGATGGTATTTTTAATTTTGTTTTGATTGTTTTAAAGGAAATTTTTTAAATGGGCGTGTGCCACCTTAAATAAAGTACACATAAAATAAAAAGTTAAAAAAATTTTCTATTTAAGCGTTGTTGTTTTGGTTCTAGGAAAAAATCGCCCCGGAAAATATCCCCGCGAAAGAAATCCCCAAAAGATAGATCGATTGCCCGCCCAAACCAAAAACCTTAGTTATTGTAGCGGCACTCCTTGCATGTTCTACCTATTTGTGAGTCGATTTTTGTACACATCTTTCATGTTCTGTCTATTTATCAGTCAATTTTTTTTTTTTTTTAATTTTGTTTAGGTGCCCCAAGAAGTCATCACAGAGCACCGCGGAAAAGCATTTAATTGGAAAATCACGCCTCCTTTCTAACCGATGTCACAAGACTTGTCCAGAGGATCCTTTGTATCTGAGGCAAATGCAGGCTTCGGCAAGAATAAAAACCGTACGGGCTATGAAAAGCCCGTCTTAAATAGACTTGGCGGGCTATGAGGGCCGCCCGTCTAGATGGTCTTGCACGGGCTTTTTTAAACTTTAAAAAAAATTCTAAAGTTTGAACTTTTTTTTTTTAAATTTGTTAATTTCTCTTCTTCTTTTTGAATGAAAATGTCATTGAATATTAAACATTTTGTGAATTGCACTGAAATAATATGTTAGAAAGCGATTAACTGTTCAAAATGCTTAATTACTTAAGTAATTAAAACACTGCAGTAAATGAGTTGGATAATACTTAAAACTAAGATTTCAATAATTGTTTTTCAAAGTTTTCACTTGCACAGATCTAATTTCGTTTCACGTGGGTTAGTTGTTTTATGGTTGCTTTTGTTTAGATTTCTTACTCGAAGGAACTTTATTCAGTTATTTATGTTGTTTTTTTTAATCTTTATTCCAGATAATATCTGGCAGATATAGTCAAACGAATGAACGTGAAAACGACGGGAAAAATCCTCGAAACAACCATGGCGTTTCATCACGTTTCCTTATTCAAGCATCCTAACGTGTTTTTTTACCGAAGTCTTTTTGAGTATATTTATATATTATTGTTTTATTCAAGTATTCGAATAAATTATACAGGTTTTTATCGTGCTTTTTTAGTTCATTCGTTTCTCTTATTCTTTGTGAATAAAAATATTACATAATATTTTCAAAATCTAATTTTTTTAATTATTTAGCAAATAGTTTGAAATCTTTTTTTTTTTAACCTTGAATCAATGAGCTCGATAGTTTTAGAATTGTTTGGTATTAGCTTGATAATATGATACGTAACTATGTTATTTTTCAAATTCAATTATTTATATACTCTTGCATTCTATTGGGCGTGCAAATTAAAAACTTAAACTGTTATTTATATTTTTATAACTTTGCTTTACCTATGCCTATCCTGATCGGAAATAGTTATTCTGATACGTGAATAAAAAATTTAAAATCTAATTTCTTTTAATAAAATAAGTTTTTATTTAGAAGTAATAATAATTTCTTAAGATACCGGGGCTTCCGTTACTTTATATACAATATAAGCATGTATATAAGCGTATGTATGTTGCTAGCTTTAACGTTCGTAGAGCCCTCTATAAATGCTAATGCTTTTGATTTTGCCAGACCTTTTAACTCGCGTAGCAATTCTTTTTTATATTTTATACAAACCATACACCATATCTTCACAACAAAAATTGTTCCATTCTCCACCTCAGTTTCTTTTCCACAGACTCCATCTTTACCCCAACTCAAAAATGTTGCTAATGTAACTCTTCTACCAGATGATGCCATTACTATCTTTACTGAAAAACTTGAATAACTTGAAAAACTTGAATGACTGGATAACTTGAATAACTTCATAACTATAAAGCAACACTATTTATATTATCTACAAAAATTGATTAGACGTTTGTTGATTTTTAATGAGATATTTCATTTTCAATAACGAGTTATATAATTGCATATTAAATAAACTGCCGTCTCTTTAAGAAAAAACGTGAAGTTAACGCGGAAGTTAACGCGGAAATATCACTTTAAATGTCTTTAAAGTAAGACAAACTAGTTTATCGGAAAAAAGCGAAATACATGGATAATTAGTTTATTATCGTTATTATTATAAACATTGAAAAACCAAAACAACATGGTACTTCTTGTGCATCACATGTGTATATTTCCCTATTTAATATTATAGTTATTAAATTTTGAACATAATATGGTAACTGTTTGGTATTATATCAAACAGTTATCGTCGTTTAAAAAACTGTAAGATTTAGTTATATTATTTTCTACATCATGGTATACAATAATGATTAAATTGTTTAATTTTTATATTTAAATATAAACAATTATAAGTTGGAGTTTGCTATCCATATTAAAATTATGTCATGAGAGAAGTTTTAAAAGAGTATCTTAATAAAAAAACATCAAAATATTCATCTTTTTTTTTACACAAAACTTATGTTTCAGACGGGCTTTATTTCGCCCGTCTAAACTGATTTAGACGGGTGCGGAGACGGAAACGGGCTATAGCCCGTCATTCCTGCCAAAGCCTGCAAATGTGCTACCACTGCGCCACGAGTGCTTAACACTGCGCCACGGCTGTTACGGATGTTTGTACACTCCTTGCATGTTCTACCTATTTGTCAGTCAATTTATGAAAAATGAACGATTAAAGTTCTGTTTGTATTATACTTGTTGATAAATTAATTCCTGCACGCAGTAGTTTTATTTATCAACAAAACTTTACTCAAACTTAAAAATGTTTTATCTTTTTAAAGTTTCTTTACATTTAACTTGGTACCGTCAACAGGTAAAAGTAGCCCCGGTTAACAGGGGCTACTTTACTCCAGCGAGGGCTATTTTGCATCACTTTTGAAAAGTTTTTGTATTTACCCTACTCTAATAGCAATATTGATTTTTTTTTCTAATCATTTGGTATTTTTTTTTGTCAGTTGGGTCATTATCTTCAATTTTCAAAGTAAATTTTGAATGATGCTGTCATATTATGTTTTTTTTCTTTTTACTAATATTTTTGTTGTTGTTGTTGTTGTTCTATAGCTTAGTTTTTTTATGCGAAGAAACCATCTGTAGTTTAAATTACGCATAAAAAAAAAAAAAAAAATTAATATATTATTTATTACTAGCCGTAAAAAATTGGGTCTTTGTAAGTCTATTCCACACTGACTATTTCTATACTTTTTTCTTAATTATATATCCTAGCTTTCCGGATCCATAAAATATGGGTCTTTACCAAACCTACCATTTCTATACTTATCTATTCCACACCGATCATTTCTATACCTATTATTTGATTACTTCAATATTTTTTTGTAAAATAACTCATTTCGAAAAATTACTTTAAGAGCAAAAAAATAAGCATGTACACCTTTTCCACACACCTAGAGTTTATAAGAGATTTATTATAAAGTTTGTTTTTCTTCTAAACGCATATTATTGATAGTTCAGTGGTTTAGCGCGCTGTCATCAGTTTCGTTTTGGGGATTAAAGACCTCCCCTAATAAATTGTGAATATTTTTTAATCTTTTAAAAGACCTCCCCTAACAAATTGTGAATATTTTTTAATCTTGTTGTATTTATAGCAATATTTATAGCAAATTTTTTATTATAGTATATATATCTATAATAATTATAGCAATATTTTCAGCAAAAAAATAATATTATAGCAAAAAAATTTTTTAATTGTTAAAATAAAATTTTAAAGTTTTAACTATACTAAATAACATTATTAAACAATATGAACCTATAGCTCATATCAAACAATATGTACCTATGACCAAGCATGCTTTCTTACCTGTTCGCACCGGTTCGTGCGAACCGTTAGATGTAAATTTTATGGTTCGTGCGAACCGGCTATTAAAATTAGCTATTAAAATTAGAAAATAAATATTTTTTACTTTGACAAAAAAAAAATTAAATAAATAAAATTTATTTACCATTTGGTGCAATTTTATATAAACAATTTGAACATTTTATCTAGTTTTCATTGCGATTCTAATTTTTTACTTAATAGAAATCTTTCAGTTAATTAGTCCTCCCCTCCCCTTTTTATTTAGATTTCTCCTAATATGTAAATTACCAGTGTTTTCATTGGTTGATTTTAAAGTTAACGCGCGTTTTTTCCAGAATGTTAGTAACAGTTTAGAAATGCTAACATAAACATGCACGTGTAGCGTCAAAAATATGTATTCGTAACAGTTGCTGAGGTTTTTAACATTGTTTAAATATTCATTGTATTTTTTCTAGCTGCATTACTACTTTAATTAAAATTTGGAATTACTTAACTAAATTATTTTTATTTATAATAGCTTGATTATTTGTTAATCAAAAAATAAATTATAAATGTAACAAACTATAAATGTAACTTAAAAGAGTGTTATAAAAGTAACAACACGGTAGTGTTATTACTTTGGTAGTCATAAATTTATTGTTTTGTTTTTCATAACATTTTCACTAACAAATTAAAGTTTATTCGCCTTAATTCCGTAAATTTCGTGGTTTTCCTTAAACTGAAACTTTGAAGACCAGATAATTTCACAGATATCGCAAATCGCGATGCCTTAATTCAATCCTTGAGTGTCAAATTGTTAACATGTATTTCTGATAATTTTTCTTTAATAAAAATATAGCTTTGTGTTAAAGTTATTTGGTTACTGGTCTGATATTCATCGTTTTATAAATTTTTAAATACCTATTTTATTTTTTGTAGATGAAGAGACAAAATATGTTAACCACATATTTCTCGAAAAAAATAAGAGAGGAAACATCAGTAAGTAATGATAGCAGGTCGACTATAACAGAGGTAGAAGCAGTTTCAAGAACTTCACAGGAAGAAATACTAGAGATTCCTAGTTCCCAAAATGAGGATAATAATAATTTACCAAGCTGTTGGAATGCAAAACAGTTAAAGGAGTTAAAAATTAAATATGATGGGCTATTTGTCAGTAATCAGAAATTGGGATGTGAGTATTGTTTAAAAATAGAATCAAAACTAATATCTCAAGAATGGAAAAAATGTAACGTTACGACATCAGAGAAAGACAAAATAGTGCAACAAGCATCTTTAAGAAAAAAAATGAGTGAACATTTTGTATCAAAAGCACACAAACTAGCTGTTGAACATGCCAAGATACTTAAAAAACAAACTTTTACAGCATGCATCGATAAGATGAACGAAAAATTTATTAGTCCTACTACAACAATCTTCAACACTCTTTACAGTCTAGCGAAAAGAAATCGTCCATTTTCAAACAAAGAAAGTGTAATAGAGCTTCAAGTAAAAAACGAGTTGGACATAGGAACCGGACTTCATTCTCGACATAGTGCAAGTAAGATAGTAGAGCATATCGCGCAAGAAAAAAAGAATTGTTTATATCAATTATTAAGAATAATTTAAAAATTTGTACTGTTATTGATGAAGCTTCCACCATTTCCAGTAAATCAACGCTAGTGTAGAAGATTCTACTTTTCATTAAAGTAGAATCTTCTACAGTAGCATCTTCTGAAATATCCCCTATAATATTCGTAGATATTGTGGAACTTGACGCACAAGATGCGAATACTATTTTTCAAAGTTTGTTGGGTGTATTACTTGCTGTTGGATTTGATACAAATTTAAAACTAAATTTAATAAGATTCTGTTCTGACGGTGCTAGCGTAATGTTCGGTTGTAAATCTGGAGTCAGTGTACGAATAAAAGAGATGTTTCCAAATGTTATTATTTGGAAACATGTCTTTTATTTTTCATCAATCTAATAAAAACCAAAAAGAACTGAATGGTATTTCCCAGGAGCTTAGTTTGGATATAATTAAGATTGAAAGAGTGTTAAGACCAAGATGGGCTTCGTGCAGCCCAAGATCTGCACTTGCTGTATGGCGGAGCTACCCTGCTTTGTATATGTTGTTCTCTTCTAACCAAAAAATGTCTGGAATGGCAAAACGACTACAAAACAAATGTTTTCTAGTAGATTTAGCTCTAATGATTGACATCCTACAGGAGTGCTCTCTACTATCTAATGCCCTTCAAGCTAGAAATATAAATGTTGCCAAGGGAGATCAACTGATTAGAAGAACAATTAACGCTTTTCAAATGCTCAAAGATCGTCGCGGTCATTACGAAAAAAAAAGTGGATGAAGTTATAAACTCTGAAGCATTCAAAAACATTATCTTCGTCGAAAACAGAATTTATGGAAATCTTTCCAGAGATTCCCTTATTGACAGCATCATAAAAAATATGAAATTAAGATTGATGGATTGTTCTCATCTCGGATCAAATAGTAACAAAAAAAATATTGATAATAGCATTATTTATGAACTAGCCAATTTGCTAGAGCCGAGCACATGGAAAATTGAAGATATTGTAGTTCCGTGGATAGAGCCCGAAAATAATTTTGATAAATTTCGAAAATTTTTTAATTTTGATATCGATAAGAATGATTTCCGTAATTATGTAGAAAATGTAATAAACAATGGCCATCAACAAATTAGTAAAATTGCAGAAAACATTCAAAAAGCGAAAAATATGGTTAATACGGTTGCCGTTAGCAGTGCTAAAGCAGAACGAGGATTTTCATTGATGAACATCATAATTACTGATATAAGAGCTAGATTAACAGTGCAGACAGTATCAAATTTGATGACGTTAAACATAGTTGGTCGTCCATTGGAAAATTGGAAGGCAGTTCCCTATGTAAAAACTTGGTTGAGGAACCATAACTCGGCAGATGATATAAGGGTTAAAAAACCGAAAGAATATACTGAAAATCAATTAGCTATTTGGAAATATTTTAAATAATATAATTACTTTAAACAATAATATTTACTAATATATGAAATTTCACAATTTTTTGTTATGTTCATTTTCTTTTTATGTAAATTTTGTATCTCTTGAAATTAATGAATAAAATAAAAGTGATTTTCACCTCGTTGATTTATTTTTTTATTCTCTTTTATCCTATTACATTATTGTTGCAAAGAATATGAACGATAGTTAAATATTCTTTACTTAGTCTGCCACTCTGACAACCATAATATTTTGATGGAAATATTAATATTAAAAAAATAAAAAAATTTGTAAGAAAATATCACTGCGAACCGGTTGATAAATTTTGGGAAACCATCCCTGCCTATGACCACATAAATTAGCACATAAAATACACTATTCTCGTTTTGTTAAAAGCTTAACAAACAACAAAGCAAAGCATGGAAGAGATTAAAAATATCAGGTTAACCTGACGACAAAGCAGCTTATAGATTAATTGCCTCAAAATATTCTCATCCAATTAAAATATATCATGCAGCAAAAGAACTAAAAATAAAATGATATGTAAAAATAATCTTGGTACTCTTGAGTGCCGAATACAACAAAATCTAATAAACGGGGGATTTTAATATTCGGGGGAGGGGGAGATTTTTTCTGAAATTTAATAAAGGAGGGGGGGGGGGGTTTATTGCTCCCCCGTTTATTCGGCATGCAAATTATGCATGTTCAAGTCAAATGCGTATTTGCCTTGCGGTCAAAAGCGCATTTTCTAAGCTGTTAGGGTAGGGTTAGGCTGTTTTATCATAATTTCAATAGGATTTAATATGCTGATATAAGTTTTATACTTTGCTAAGTATAAAACTTATATTCAGCATTTTACTTTTGAGATATATAATTTTTTTGTTGATAACAAGTAAAAATTAATAAACGGAGGAGGGGGGAGGGGAGTCTTAATAAGCTTAGGGTAGGTAGGAAAAATATCCAAAAATTAATAAAAAAAAGGGGGGGGGGGACGTTTATTAGGAACTCGAGAGTAGTGTCTTTAATTTTGTAAATAACAAACTTAAAACGGTTAGTAAACTTACTGAGATTCGTTGATCCGACAATACTCTTTCGCAAAATATAAAAAAATATCTGGTATTTTTAATGACTTTTTTTTGCAAGTGATTATACCGTTGATAATGGTTCATTGCCAACGTTTTTAGATTGTGTTCATGTAAGTATAACTTTTCTGCGATCGACAAACAACTCTCCATCTACTGTAAAAAAGCATTAAGATCACTTAAACCTACTACATCATCTGGTCCAGATGGCTACTACTGGTTTAGATAGCATTCCAAGTATTGAATTAAAACTCTTTCTTTCTAAAACTTAGCAGTCCCCTAATGTCATTTGTTTTTTGCCTCATTTAAATATGGTGCATTACCGATATGCTGAAAAAAAGCGAATGTTGTTACAAGCCATAAAAAAGGGCCAACAAGTAATTATAAACCAATCCAAGTAATTATAAACCTATCTTATTGACATCTACATCTACGTGTAATGGAAGGAATTGTTAATAATGAGCTAATAATTTATCTTTTACTCAATAACACTATCACAAAAGCGCAACATGGTTTTATTTGTAACTTAGTGTCTAGTCATGATGACTTTCAAGAATGTTAGTGCAGTACTTGCGCTAACATTCTTGAAAGAATAGTTACCACAAGTAAGTATTTTAGGACCAACTTTATTCTTATTGTTCATGAATGATATTAATGACATATATAAAGAGCTTAACGTTAAATCTAAACTTTTTGCTGATGATATAAAACTATATTCCACTTGTGATATACTCTCCGTCAGACCTTATTCGTTTGTATGATTGGAGTTGTACTTGGCAACTTCAGATAGCAATGGAAAAATATTTTGTTTGGACCATTACATACCGGAATCAAAACTAATTACGCTTATTGTATAAGTAAGCAGGAACTTGATTATGTTAAAAGTATTCCTGATCTTAGAATCGCGATCGATAATCACCAAAAATTTGATCAGCATATCATTCATCTAATTGTACATAAAACTGTTGACAGTGTATCTAATTCTAAAAGCTTTTCATTCACGAGAATGATCACTAATTTACGAGATAGATGGTCTTTAAGTCTACTGTACTTAAGTATGTCCTATGCTAGAATACTATTCTTCGGTATGGTCACCTTACACTATGGCAAATTAATAAAATAGAGAATGCTCTGCGGTCAGTATCCTTACGTATAGCTATGCTTAACCTCCACGCAACTTAATTTTATTTTACAAAATTCTTAATAGTAAAGTTGTCAAATGTTTTTAAATTCAACTTTTACTCAGGTATTCAGAATCATGCTTTTAAACTTTACAAACATTGTTTTAATCTTAACAGTACAAAGTTTTACTTTTCCAATAACGTTGTCAACTTATAGAAAAGTTTACCGGAAAATGAAGTATCTGCATCATCTGTATCGATGTTTAAACTATTTTCGATCTTAATACAGATTTTTTATTTTGTTTTAATGTATACTGCAGTATAAGTGGCCTTCTGGTCCTTCTGTTGTTATGTATATATAATTAGATATATATATATATATATATATATATATATATATATATATATATATATATATATATATATATATATATATATATATATATATATATATACATTGTAAAAACATACATCATATATATATATATATATACATATATATATATATATATATATATATATATATATATATATATATATATATATATATATATATATATATATCATATATATATATATATATATATATATATATATATATATATATATATATATATATATATATATATATATATATATATATATATATATATATATATATATATATATATGTATATATATATATATATATATATCCATATAACTTTTAATTTATCATCATTATTATGACCATTATTATTTGCATTATCAATTCTATTTTATGGTATTTACTTAAGATTAGTTTTTAATTATTTGTAAATGACCTCGATTGTAAGATCTTTTATCGAAAAAAAATATATATACATAAATATAAATATAAATATGATTGTGTTTAATTTTTTTTTTGTACCTAAAGGAAAGTTATCATTTTAAATTGATAACTTTAACAGAAATAACGATAACTAAAAGAAGATAATAGTTATTATATAGATTATGATTTCAACCATATATTTATTTATTTTATTATAAATAAGCTATATAATAAGTTAACAGCGTTTTCTTATCTATAACTTAATTTTAAAATGTTGGGATAAAAATATTGAGTTCCAAGGAACAAAAATAGGTCCCATATGACATGTATCATAGTATACCTTGTATTTTTCAGCATGTTTAAGAATATTTCACTGTACACACTGACTGTTGACAATACTTGGATACTGATATGAGTAAAAGTTACTTCAACAACCAGAATGTTTTTTTGATAAATATTAGTAATGACAGGCTAGTATATATAATTATAATAATAATTGTAATAACTTTTATTTATTAGAATTAGTGAGAGATTTATGTATGATAGAGTTGGATGAACTTTTGGGACTGAGAATTATAAATATATAATTACTTTTAGTTATATGTTTCCTATTTTTTATCTGAGACTGACAAGTTCGTGTTGCATGAAGGTAAACAGATTTTTTCTGTTTATCGCCATATGAGAAAACATAAAATAATCAGATAGATTTAGCTACGAGTTAATGCATTGACTCGTAGCTAATAGCTACGCCGAGTCAATACATTGACTCGGCGTAGGTATACCTATTTGATTATAAGTATTTTATATTTTAAAATAAATTAAATTCATAACAATCAACCTGTTTTTGTATGACCTAATCCCAAGCCAAATTTGTTGCTCTTCATAGTACTTTTTTTGGTTTAAAAGTGTTTTTTTTTTAGATAAGACCATGGTTAGATAGCAGACTCGTTAGTTAGTTTAGTAGTTATTCCACCGTTGAGCATCTAAATCTATTCTTTAATTTTTTTTTTTTTTGTAATTTGAATTTTCATGCTATATTTTTTTATACAATGTTCCTATATTTGAAGATATTGTTGGCTTAGCAGAGAAACAGCCAAAAATAGTCATTAATCCAAATTAGTATCTGTTATTGACCAACATTTATGCGTACCAAAGTATAACTCAAGCGGTGGCAGGATTTGAACTCGTATCGTATAACAGTCCGGGTTTTATCTTTCCGTTTGACGTTCTAACCAAATGAGCTATCCAGCCACATCTCGAATGCTTTTATGATGTATAGCATTAATGGTTTTTGTTTTAAAAGACTCTGAAGATCGCAATGAATTCTCTGTCTAATTACTAATTCTACTTTTATTAGC